TCCTGGAATAGGTTTTTAAGTAGCAGAAAAGCAGATAGATTGTGCATCCTTCAGGCCAGCCTCACACCAAGCACAACTGAGCCATCTGGAAGGAGCTCAGGGTGAACTTCCAGCCAAGGAACCCCCACAACACAGAACCAGACCCTTGCGCCGTATCAGCCACAGGGCTGGGGCAGGGATGGCTTCTTTTGGGGAAAGCCAAGGAGCTGGGCTGAGGATTTTTCAAGGGCAGCAACCTGAGCAATTGCCCTGGGGATCAGGCTTGCTCTGGTCACAACTCCCCATCCCAGGGGGCTTCTCTGAAGCCATGCCCCACCCCAACCTAGTCAATCCTTGCCCTCGTGAGCAGCTTGGAGCCATGACACAGCCTTTACGATTCTACCCAGATGGTGAAGCAGAGCTGTGACAGCTCTGCCTTCTCCACAGTACCTGACAAGCAAGAATGGTGAACCTGGGGATTTTCTAGCTAAGGACCCTGAGGACTGCAACAGAAAAAGGCCGCTGAAGGGGCCAAGAGTCAGGCCCATGTTCGGTGCCCAACATCTCACAAGACGTGAGGGAGTTCGTCCCTGCATCCCAAGGGAGGGCCCAGGCCCCAGGTGCACAGGGGCCCCAGCATGTAGCCCCAGGCCCCGTGCCCTTAGCAGCTGTCTGCGTAGGAAAAAGCAATTCTCAGGCTCACAGACCGTGCTCAGGCCTGGGGGAGAGGGGCAGGCGGCAGGCCCAGCCTGGGCCGTGCGGGCAGTGAGCAGGCAGCAGCTCTAGGTTTCTGGAATGAGAGGCAGTGGAGGGGCTCAGGTACCCCAGCGTGTGGACTGGGGGCGCAGGGGTGTGGAGCTGTGAGTGGACTGTGGGCCCCCACCCAGCAGTGGGGGCGGACCAGGGGCCTCACTGTCTCTGCTTCTGAGGCCCAGCCTCATCCCCACAGCCCCCGAGGTGCTGCACACTGCCGGGGTCAGGCCCCACGAAGTCACAGACCGCACGTTCCTCAGCCTGCAGCTGGCTCCTGCAGTGCGGGAGGTGGGGCTCGCTCAGACTCCATCTGCCTGCCTGGGCCCCTGGCTTTAAGGAAAGGATGGAGGGGAGTCTGCAGAGCTTCCTCCCGTGCAGAGCACAGGCCTGGATGGAAGGGGCCACGGCCAGGCTCAGCTTGGGCCCCAAGGTCTAGCTCTTCGTGGCCGCAGCACCCCACACGGACGTCGGCAGAGTCAGCCCCAGGCCCGTGCCCGTGTGCCCGCGCTGTGAGCACAGCGTCTTCTGTGCTGCTCAGGTCCAGAGACCCATCTCTGACAGAGGCTGAGTGTGTTTCCCCTCACCTCAGGTTGAAATTCGATCCCTGTTGTTGGAGGTGGGGCCTGGTGGGGGGCGTTTGGGTCCTGGGGCAGATGCCTCCTGAGTGGCTGGGTGGCCTCCCTGCGCAGTGAGTCCCCCCTCTTCATCTCTTCGCTGAGTGTTTTAAAGACTCCAGCTCCTCTCCCCTCCCTCTTGCTCCCTCTCTCGCATGGGAGCTCGGCACACCCCGGCTTGCCTTCGCCTTTCTCCATGAGTGGAACTGGCCGGAGCCCCTGCAAACACCTTTGCAGAGACGATGGCAGCAGGAGAAGGTCTAGCTGGCTCACTCCCCCTGCATCCAGCCTCACCGGCTGGCTGGCTGTGCTCATTATCTGGCTGGGGCCCAAGCTAACCGAGGGAGGAATCCAGTTCACAGTTTAATTTGAAAGCAAGGATGATAACAGTACCTTGCTGAAACTAACCCCCTCCTTGCTCGGACCAGAAAACACCTTCAAGGGAGGAAGGAAAGGCCACAGATCAGGATTATGGGAGGCGCCTGAACTCTGCTAAAATGCAGGTGTAGTTTCCACGATCTCTTACTGCTCTGGGGTCACAGGGCCAGAGGAACTAGGTTTGTGACTTCCCCAATTGCTCCTGTAGATAACATCACTATTTAAAACCTAAGATTGGTCTTTGAGGTAATTTTTTAGACTTGAATTCTGGCAACCAATGGACCCCATCCAGACCATGACTCATGACTCAGCTGACCCTGTGACCCTCACCGAGGGTCAGACTCAGTGCTGGAGGACCATTCCCACACCGCTATGATCTCACCCCCAACCAATCAGCAGCACCCATTCCCCAGCCCCATGCCCACCAAACTGTCCATAAAAATCCTCAGCTCGGAGCCTTTGGGGAGACCGACTTGAACGATAGCTCCATCTCCCATGTGGCTGGCCTCACATTAACTAAACACTTCACGACAATACCAAGGTCTTGGGGAATTGGTTTTATCTGTGCAGTGGGCATGAGGCTCCCATCGGATGGCTGTGCCCTCCCCAGACGCAGATGCTGGTGCTATGCCTCTGGGCAGGCTGCAGAACCATGAACCGAACAAACCTCTTCTCTTTATAAATGGCCCAGCCTCAGGTACTCCTTTATAGCAATGCAAAATGGCCCAGCATGCCACCCTGGACGTCCCTCTCAGCCATCTGCAGGTTCTCCCCACGCCTTCACTAAGCCCTGCCACATCCCAACCTCCCCCTGCTAGCCCTTGAGCCTGCGCACAGGGCCTTGGCTGTCCCCAGGCATTCCTGGTGGCTCCAATTTCTTCCTCTGCTGCTACCAACACCCGCAACTTCTGTTCCCCATCTTGCCACTGCCCCGAAGCTCAGGTCTGGGAGCTTGACACACGTTTCAAGGTGTATTCATTTTTAATTACCAATAAATGAAGATAGTCTCAAAAAATTGGAATGCCAGATAAAGCAACATTTTCTTTCCACTCATCTACTCTTAATTCTTCACTTAGAAGCTGCCCCTAGCAGGCCAAGGGATGTCCTTTTAAAAAATAAAAAAGGTGTTATGTGTGTTCCCACATACATGTATGCACATATATACACGCATACATCTATACAAATCCGCACACACCCTGTACACGCCGTGTTCAAACTGTTATATGCATATGCTTTCTTCCCCCATAAACGGTTTCCTTACAGTCCCTTCTAGCTTTGATTATCCATCCATCTGCCATTCTGTCAGCAGCTGAAAGAAAACAGTTGAAAGAGGATGAAACCGAAACATCATAAATAACAATGAAAGACGGTGAAAAGGAGGAACACTTTAAGAAACTGATACGATTTCAAGAGGAGATCTTTCTGGACTCAGTTTCTAAAAGAATAGCTCATTTCCCAGGCTGAATGTTGGGGGTGGGGTGGTGACAGCACCACACCTCCAACTGAATGCTGTGCTGAGCTGCAGCCGGCGCCCTGAGGTGCCGCTGCTGGGCTCCCAAAGGGACCCTCTGCCTGCAGGGACCCACCTCCTCCTCGCCACACTCTTCCCTCTCTGCAGTCTCCTCCCACCCCCGTAGAGAACAATGCAGAGGGAAGCAGAGGGTGATGGTTCCCGACAGAGCTTCAAGACGTCCCCACGGAAGCCAGCTCACAGCTCCCACGCTCCTGTGGGCATGCCTCCCATCGATCACCAGGTTCTCTGTGCTGCCGTCTGCCCCGCTCAGAAAGCCAGTCCTAACTTGGCACGGGCCTCACCGTGAAGACAACCTCATCCCTTCTGAAGCCTGCTTGCCCCTGACTCGGAGCCCTTGAAGGCAGGAATCCTGTCTTTTCATCCAGCAGTTCCAGCACATTCAATCTACACAACATCGCAAGTTCTCCCACAAGGCAAACGGCAGACACGTCCTCCCTCTCTTCCACAAATTCCACTCGTGTGACCTGAGCCCTCACGCAGCTTCTCCGTCGGGGCAGGCCTGATTTCCTCCCTCTGGACAGCGCCTAGAGCCATCGTCTCTGGACAATGTTTATACAGACGGAGGGCGGAAGAAAGGGGCCTCCTGAGACTAAAGTGCACAAACTTAAAGGGAACTGTGACAATCCCACAGCCTGGGGGGCGAGTGTAGAGACTGGTCAGGACCCACCCCCGACAACGCACACGACCCACAGGCAGAAGCACCTTCATTTGTTTTACGCAGAAAGACAAAGCACAAAATCTGCCCCGGCGATAGCGCTGGTCCACGCACAGAGAATAGGAGGCACCAACCCCTCTGCCTGCAGGGCGGTGCCGGAGGAAGACGGAGGCTGGCAGAGACCTGGCTTCTTGTCCTGTGGCCACCACTGCCTGATGGAAGAGTCTGAAGTCAGAAACATTGAAATTCCCCTCCTGCTGCCGCTGGCCCTGCAGAGAGAAAGCCTTGCTCTAACACGCAGTATTGCAGGTCTTTCTGAGTACAAACTCAGGCTGGAGAGAAAGACGAACTATCCCAGGCCTCTGACGGTCAAGGGCAAATCTGTTTTTCACATCACTATCTTCCCCAGTACAAACACGCTAAGTCAACAGAAAGAATCGGAAAGAACAGACACAGGAAAGGCGAAAGGATAAGATTTCATATTATCATCGACGGCACTCAAGTGAAAATATCCTCAGATCGTGAGCCTTCTCATGAGCCTGTGGAGCTCTCTCAAACACCCACATTTCCTTCTTCCTTTTCTCCAGCAAATCCCTCCTGGATTCCATTCCCTGCTGCCCAGTGCCCCAAACCGAAAAAGTTAGGATTTGCCAGAAGCAGGCGCAGTCAAGCCCCCAAATACCAAACCACGGAGAGTGGGCGACCTGTGGGGTGGCCCCTGGCCCTGGGTGAGAGCCTAGGCTTGGCTCCGTGCCTGCAGGCTTCAGAGAAGGCTGGAGGCCAATGTGTCATCGGACTGTCATACCAGCCATACTGCGAGTACTGGGATGTTTACAGTTAATCCAAGGACGGGGCCGGACCAGAAGGATTAGGCTCTGATAGATTAGCATGGGAAGAAAGTGACAGGTGGAAACTGATGTTCTGGAGACAGATTTGTTTGGGGGGGTGGGGGAGAAACAGACGCAGGCACTCAGCACCAAGCCATTCACAGCCACCTGGCAGCTTCGGTGCCACCACAGCTGTGTGGCTGCAGAAGAGGCCCCCAGCAGCCCAGCACCCACCTGAAAAAATATCATCAATGTCTTACTTTTTCTGGAGCGGGAGAAAAACCTGATGCCCCCGGGCGAGGTAGCAGGGTTGGAGTTGGGGGAAGACTCTTTGGAGGAGGAGCGGAAGATCCCGCTGAAGCTCATGCGTCGTGGGGAGCGCGGTGGGGACTCCTGGTAGGAGAACGGGAAGACAGTTTTGGGAGAGCCGGGGCTGGTCTTGGGCCTCACGGGTGCAGACACAGGGCTGGAGGCCCGGGGCTGGGGGCCCCTGGAGAAGAAGCCTTTGGAGGGGCTTCCTGGGCCGAAGGGGCTGTCCACCTGCAGAAAGATAGATGAATGGATGCAGTCACTCCACGCTCTGGACACGCTGTCTCCTGCCTTGTCTGGGACTCTCATCATTGTCCCCTCTCACCACACGGCCCCCACATAGAACCCTCCCCGAGAAACAGCCCGAAGCTCTTCCACAGATGTGGCCGCTGAATGATCTGCAGGTAGCACCTACCCCCAAGGACAGCCCCTCATAAGCTGGCAGCACCACATCCTGCAGGTCCACTGACCACCCTGTCCCACTCCTTAGAAGGGGCTTCCAAGAGGCAGAGGGGAAGAAGGAAAGCAGAGCTCAAAATAAGTGTCTCCCTCCTCTAACCTACTAGGGCTGCCTGCCTTCACCGCTCAAGATCTCACGTCCATCCAAGGATGGCAGTTCTCTTCCCTGCCTGTGAGGTCCCCGTGTTCCAGAACAGAGAGGGCCTGGAACTCCATCCTGAGACCTCAGCCCTAGGAGATGATGAAGTTTTCACCTCCAAGCTGCTTCAGCATTTGAGTAACTGAGGTTGCCAACAGAAGTTAGGAGAAAAGTTAACAAAGCTGGCTGGAGGCGGTGGATCACACCTGCAATCCCAGCACGGTGGGAGGCTCAGGTGGGAGGATCGCTTGAGGTCAGGAGTTCAAGACCACCCTGGTCAACATGGTGAAACATCATCTCTACTAAAAATACAAGAAAAATTAGCTGGGCATGGTGGCAGGCACCTGTAATCCTAGCTACCTGGGAGGCTGAGGCAGGAGAATTGCTTGAATCCAGGAGGCAGAGGTTGCAATGAACCGAGATCGCATGATTGCACTCCAGCCTGGGTGACAGAGCGAGACTCCATTTCAAAAAAAAAAAAAAAAAAAAAGTTAACAAAGCCAAAAACTTCTGAGGCTCACTTTACAATGATTTAAAATTCTAGTTATGGTTTAAAAAATTATCAGACGCCATAACTTTAAGCCAAGGCGCACAGCTCATTGTAGGCTTTGAGAAATATCCCATGTGCCCGCAGTCGTGTTCCTGCTGGGTGGGTGGAGGAGCTTGTGCCACCTCTGGGTGCCTGGGTCTGGCCCAGCTCTGCTGCCTGCTGAGTCATCCTGGGCATGTTACCTGGCCTCACTGAGCCTCAACTTCCTCATCTGTAAAATGGAGACGGCCGTGCCCTCACCTGAGGGCTGCTTAAAGGTCAGATGAAGCCACATGGGGTTGGGAAGCGCACGGTGCATGCTAAACAGCTCTCGCCCTACCACTCGGGAAACCTGCAACACAGGCCGAAAGGACCTCAGAGATGGCCCAGTTCAGAAGCAAGGGCGAGTAACTCGTCCGCAGGGCTCGCGGGGAGCGAGGACCAGGGCAGACGCGGGAAATGCCGCGCGGGCAATGCGCTGTGCTGAGAAGGGAGCCCGGGGCACCCCACAGGCAGCCTCGGTGCCACTCGGGGTGTCTCTGTCCCACTTCGGGGTGCGCTGCCCGGACCAACGCCTGGATACGTTCTTCCGCCACTAGAGGGCGGCCCAAGCCCCGATCCCGCGGCCGGGAGGACGGGATGCCCTGAGAGTGCCACCTTCCGCGGCGTGAACTGCGCCGCGCAGCCGCCCCCGCGGCCTCCCAGCCGAAGAGCAGGCGCCGCCACGTGGAGGTGCAGGGTCCAGCCTGGCGCGGACACTTTCGTGAGTGGGCCTGGCAGGAAGAAGAGTGTGGTGCCATAGGACCCTGTAACTCAAGCTCTCCTTGCTATAAAGAAGTGTGTTTTTCTTTTTCGTGTAGTTTGTTGTTTGTTTTTGAGACAGCGTCTCCCTCTGTCACTCAGGCTGCAGGGCAGTGAGGCAATCTCAGCTCACTGCAACCTCCACCTCCTGGGCTCAAGCAATCCTCCTGCCTCAGCCTCCTGAGTAGCTGGGATTACAGGGGTCATCACCATGCCCAGCTGACTCTTTTTGACCATTTAATATGAAAAGCATTTAGATTCTCTGTTTATATAATATCCCATTTAGCCACTACTCCACCCACCTATGGGAATCAGAACAAATCCTGAGAATAAATTTACAAATGAGAGATTCTTCAGGCGGGGAGAGGTAGCTCACGCCTGTAATCCCAACACTTTGGGAAGCCAAGGCGGGTGGATCACCTGAGCTCAGAAGTGCAAGACTAGCCAGGACAACGTGGCAAAATCCTGTCTCTACAAAAATCACAAAAATTAGCCGGGGTGGTGGCCTATGGTCTCGGCTACTCAGGAGGCTAAGGTGGGAGGATCACTCGAGCCCAGGAGGCGGAGGTGGAGGTTGCGGTGAACAAGATGGCAGTCAGCCTGGGCAACACAGTGAGACCCTGTCTCAAAAAAAAAAAAAAAAAAAAAAGTTCTTTTTCAAGTGGTGGGTGTGGGATGGGGGCTGAGAGAAGGACCAGGTGGCCCTAACACAAGGTGACATAACAAGTTGGTCCTGGGTGAGGTCCGAGTTTGGTCACAGCTCAGTTTCCCATAACATGGACAGCAACATGGTTCTCTAAGCTTCGTTCCCAGGGCCGTGACAATGATGACAGCAGCCTGGAGGGTGTGAACCAGAAGAGGAGCCGAGGCCACGTGGGAGGACTGGAGGGAGGGTGGGATTTCGGAGCTGCTGGAAAGGCAGGCTCAGGCCTGTGTGCGGACCTGCTCTGTGCACCGCACCGAGGGCTCACCAGGGAACTGGGCAGAGGGCTGAGCCAAGGCGGACGTCCAGTCCTACAGGGGAAGGGACTCACAGCAGAGCGGGCGCCACGGGAGAGCTTGCAGAGTGCCCGCAAGGCCAAAGTGCCATCAGCACCATGCAGGTAGGGAAAGGGCCCAGAGCTGAAACCTGCCCCTCACAGATCCTGACCCAGAGAAGGCCCTGACAGCCAGCTGGGCTTCAGAGAGGCGATGGATGGGGTCAGGGAAGCGTCCGGTGCCTGGAGACTGAGGAGACGGGGTGGGAAGCACAGAGAGAGAGGGCCGTTTGTTTGGACCACCAGGAGGGTGGGGGTCATGGGGGAAGTTGAGCCATGAGCCCCTGGAGAACCAGTTACCAAGGGCCCTGAATGCCAGTTTGAACCATATTTGATGGGCAAGGGGGACCCCAGGATTCTCCTGAATGGGGTTCCACTCTGTATTCTGAGCTCCAGGCCAGTGGAGTCGGGCGCTCAGTGCTCAGGCCTGAAGAGGGAGCCCAGGGCGGCAGCCCTGCCACACCTGTCCCCAGAAAATGACCAAGCATGGTGGCTGTGGGGCCCTGCTCAACCCCTCCCACCAGGAGCCCCGGGGGCCAGATCATACTCCCAGATGGTGGGAAAGCCAGGCGGAGGGACAGGCCTGCTGGGGAGGCACCGCTGAAGATCCCAGGGGCAGGGCCTCAGCTCTCGCTCTCGCTCTCGGGCAAGCTGTAGCCAAATGATATGTTGCTGAATGTGGCCGGATGATTCCCGGGTATGGACGAGACTCCCAAGAGTGCGCCTGGCTCCGCAGAGCTAATGAAGAGCGGGCACTCAGGCGTCTGCTGAGCAGAGCTCTGCCTATGGGGCCATTTGTCATGCAGCTGCCGGAGAGCAAGCTGGGGCCAAGCTACAGCCTGTGTGTCTCTTCTGCAGTCTCAGATCCTACATGCAAGGTTTTCACTGGAAAGCAGGGATTTGCGGAGTCAAACAGGAAGAAGATGACCCAGCGCCCATGGGGCCCATCCCACAGCCTTGCACGGGGGCTGGGGCTTGGTGGCCCCTTCCTGCCACTCCACTCTCTGCTGGCCCGGAAGCTCAAGGCCATTCTCCAACAGTCTTTGCTGGCTGGGCCAGAAGAACTGTTAATAAGGTTGCTTGTTCGGGGGAGGGCAGGGAAGGCAAGGCACGGGCACCAATGAAGCCCCACAGGCCTAAACCAATTTGATTCAGTTGTGTGTAATTCAAGTGCTTAGAGAGGTGGTTTGCTTTTTCCAGCATCGGAACTCTTGCCTTCATCCCAGGCTGGCCGGTGTCTGGAACCTGTGCCCAGACCCTGCATGCAGCGCCCAGATTGCTAGCTCTGACTGCTGTCACCTCCCAGAGGAGTCTGTGGGTGGCAGGATGCCAGGGAGCACAACCCCCGCCAGGCCTCTGCCCACCCTCGCTTCCTGGCTGCAGGAGAAACCCGCAAGCAGCCTGGACCTCTGCGCCCCACCACGGCCACCTCGACCCTCACCTGATGCTGCGGATCCCTCTCCACAGCCCCCCCCCACCCTGCACTTTCTTGGCCACCTCACTCTACACAGTCAACAACCTCCTTGAGACATTAGTTTCCTAATGGGAGGGAAATTCACCAGTGGGGGAGGGAGAGCGAGGAGCTGAGGAGAGGAGAGGAAAAGTGGAAGGGGACAAAAAGGCGTGTGGAGAGGGGGCAACATGAGGTGGAAGGAGAGAGCCCGAGGCTGGGGGTAGGCGCTGGTGGACAGCAGGGCAAAGTCCTGCCAGTCGAGCTCAGCCCGAAGACCACAGATGGTCTGCAGTGCCCAATACCTTCAACTGGGCTTAGCTCATCACTCATCTTCCTCCACTGCCTCTGCCCACGTTAGCGGGGTCTAGTGGGACACAGTCAGAGCCACACGAGAAAGAAAAGGAACAATGCACACGAGGCTCCCAGGTTGGACAGCCCAGCCGGCATGCCAAGCTTGGCCACGCAAGGTGAGCTGTCCTGGGGTGGGCTTGGCTACCGCCAGGCGTACACATGAGCACAAAGGTGGAGGTGGCCTCAGGCTCTGCCTGCCTCTGTGGCACCTCAAGTGAGCTGTGAGAAACTCCTGAAAAGGAGGTCTTACCTTTCGAGAGGAATGCTTTTCAGAAGTCTCTAGGTCCCCATCCAGGAGCGGCATGGCGAAGGAGCTCAGGTCCTGGTGTGGACAGAGAGCATGCGATCAGTGACAGTGGCCCAGGGACTGCACACAGCTCTAAGTGGGTGTCACCTCCCCCTTCCCGAGTTCTCATCCTCCAAATCCACCATGAAAAAGAGACGCAGATGTGTTAGCCACACCCACCCCCCAAAGCCCCTGACCACCCTACACATTCGCTTCCGGAACGTGCAATGAAACTTCCAGTAGCAGCCACGACCTCCCATCACCCCAGGGAAGGAGGAAAGAAGAAATGGCTGGGGACTGAAAGGGACAGAAGGCAGGCAGAAGGGATGGAGGGAGAAGAGCCCCATCTCAGGCTGCTCTAGGGAGCCGGCGATGAACAGGATTTTATCCCCCAGCACGAAACATGGTTCCAGGGGCCTGTGTCTGCCTGGGAAGATCATGGGGCAGGGATTGGGGGGGTGGCACTGGGATGGCGGCCGAGGCAAACTATCAGCAGACTCTAATGACATCGTGGCCAAAACAGAGTCTAAAACAGATTGGGGAAAACTAGCTCATCACGTGTTCACTGCATCTGAAACAGCCCCGCCCCCCCTCCCCTTGAGCCCACCACGTGCTCACTGCGTCTGAAACAGCCCCGCCCCCTCCTCCCCTTGAGCCCACCACGTGCTCAATGCGTCTGAAACAGCCCCGCCCCTCCCTCCCCTTGAGCCCACCACGTGCTCACTGTGTCTGAAACAGCCCCGCCCCTCTCTCCCCTTGAATCTTGCCTGGTGAAGACCTTCCACACCAGACAGAAACCCACCCAGCCGTACTCAAATCGAGCAGAGCTGCATCCTTAAACCTTTCTTTTTAAAGCTTTTAGTCGTGATAAAATACATATAAAATTTGCCGTCTCAACCGCAAATCTGCCGCAAATTTAAGTGTGCGGTTCAGTGGCATGAGACACCTCCACATTGCTGTGCAGCCGCCACCACCGTCATCTCTAGAACCTTCCGTCCTCCCATACCAAACCACTGTCCCCGTCAAACACTAGCTCCCCCCAACAAAGGCTTGGCGACCACCCTTGTACTTCCTGTCTCTTTGAATGTGACCACTCTAGGGACCTCACGTAAGTAGAATCACACAGTATTTGTCCTTTGGTGACTGCCTTACTCCACTCAGCACAATGTCTTCCAGGTTCCTCCATGTGGTAGTGGGTGCCGCAGCACCCTTCCTTTTGAAGGCTGAATGATATTCCATTGTATGAGTAGACCACATTCTGCTTGTGCACTCATCAGCTGAGGGACATTTGGGTTGCTTCTACCTTGGCTACTGTGAATAATGCTGCTGTAACTATGAGTGCTGTGGTTTGAATTGTGTCTCCCTTCCCACCAAAAAAATCCATATGTTGGAATCTATACCACCGGGGACCTCAGAATGCCGCTGTATTTGAAGACAGGGTCTTTAAAGAAGCAATTAATTTAAAATGAGGTCATTAAGGTGGGCCCTAGTCCAATATGACTGGTGTCCTTGTAGGAAGAGGTTAGGTTACAGGCATCTACAAGAGGAAGACCACACATGGAGATGCAGGGAGAAGACAGCCACCAAGCCAGAGAGGGGGCCCCTGAAGAACCACCCTGCCAACACTTTGATCTTAGACTTCCAGCCTCCAGAATCATATTTCTGCTGTTTAAGCCGCCCCACCTAATCTGTAGTGCTTTGCTGTGGCAGCCTAGCAAACCAATATAACAGGTGTACGAATCCCTCTTCAGGACCCTGCTTTCAGTTCTTTTCTGCTTATGCCCCGAAGTGGAACTGCTGGACATCAGGTCATCCTGTTGTCAATTCTTTGAGGAGCCACTCAACTGTTCTCTGCAGCAGCCACCCCATGTTCCTCTCCACCCTCAGCACACGAGGGTTTCCATTTCCCCACATCCTCCCAACGCTTGTTATCTTCTGTTTTTGTTTTATATGACAGCCATCTTAAGTGGTTGTGAGCTGGCATCTCATTGTGGTTTTGATTTGCATTTCTCAGATAGTTAGTGATGTGGGGCATGTTTTCATGTGCTTATTGGCCATTTGTATATCATCTTTGGAGAAGTGTCTATTCAGGCCATTTGTCTATCTTAATAGATAAGTTAAGATAGAAATTTGTCTCTTCTCCTTTGCCCATTTTTTAATTGATTGTGCCTGACTTGTAAGAATTCTTTATATATTCTGGTTATTAACCCCTTATCAGATACATGACTTGCAAATATTTTCCACCATTCTGTGGGTTGCCTTTTTTCCCTGCTGATTGTGTCTTCTGATGTACAAAAGTCTTTGATTTATCTAAGTTTCCTTTTGTTGTCTGTGCTTTTGGTTCTGTATTCAAGAAATCATTGCCAAATTCAATGTCACGACGCTTTCCCCTATGTTTTCTTCTATGAGTTTTCTATTTTATGGTTTTAGCTCTTATATTTAGGTCTTTGATCTATGTTAATTTTTGTATATGGTATAAACATAAGGGTCCAACTTCATTCTCTTACATGTGGATATCCAGTTTTCCCAGCGCTACTTGTTGAAAAGATGGTCCTTTCCCCATTGAATAGTCTTGGCATGACTATGGAAAGTCATTTGACTGCATCTCTGAGGGTTTATTTCTGGACTTTCCATTTTATGCCATTGGTCTAGATGTCTATTTTTTATGACAGTATCATACTGTTTTGATTATTGTGGCCTTATAGTAAGTTTAAAATCGGGAAATGTGAGACCTCCAACTTTGTTCTTTTTTTTTTTCAAGATTTTCCTATGTAAGGTCCCTTAAGTTTCCACATGAATTTTAGGATAGACTAATTATTCTATTTTTGGAAAAAATGCCATTGGGATTTTGATAGGGATTGCACTGAATCTGTAGACACTTTGGGTGGTCTTGACCTCTTAACAAGATTGCCTCCCAATCCATGAACATAGGATTTTCTTTTCATTCATTTGTGTCTTCTTTCATTTCCTTGTGTATTTTTCTGTGCACTTAACCTTTTTTTTTTTAACCCATTCCCTTCTCTCTGCACCTTTGCCCTGTGGGTCCAGGCCTCCACCCCCTCTCACCAAGTTCCCTCTTGGGCCACCTGATTATTGTCCAAATCATTCACCCTTCCTGTTTGGATCTATGCTCCAAGTCTCTGCTTAAGGAGCAACCCCTGCAAGTGTGAGCCTCATCACATCAGCTCCCCTGCTAAGGCCCCAGCCACTCTACCATCACCTTGGCAATGGCTTCCAGGCCTGGCTGACTGAGACACACCAGAGATCACCTGGGGAGCATGGGGAGCGTGCGCTGGCCTATGGTACAGCCAGGGCATTGGAAATTCCACCACAGCCCAGATGGAGAGCCACTTGCCTCCCATGGAGGAGTCTCAGGATCAGCCAAGATCAGGAGCTCCCAGCTGGGCCTGCAGGCTGCAACCCAGGCCCACAGATTAGCTGGCCTCTGCAGCCTTATTTCTGATGTTCTCTGTTCCTGTCTCCTTTCAGCAACAGCCTAGGCAGGTGGTTTGTATTTTCCGAACACAGCTGTGCATCCATGGACATCCCACCTGGAACACTATCTTAACTCCTCAGATACTTTAGTTCATGGCTACCATCCACCCCTCCTGTGAACTGCTCCCACTTCGCTTCAGCCACTCAGGGACAGTTCCAGTGTCCTGTCCACAGCCCCTAGCAGGGAGCCCTGCCCATAGCAATGCAGGAATCACCTGGTGCCATTCAGCAAACACCCCAAGCCCTTTCCTTCCTCTGAGCTTGTCTCTTGCTCTTCCTGTCCCCGCCCCCAAATCCTGGTTCACAAAGTAAACTCCTACGTATCCTGCAAAGCCCAATTCAAATACACTCTCTGGCTGAGAGCCACCCTCGGGCAGAATTAACTATCTCTTATTAATTATTCTAGACTGTGTCCCACAGTACTTTAGACATATGTTTATTACAGGACTCATGACACTGTATTATACTCATCTATCAGTTTCTTTCTCTAACTAGACTTTGTATCCATCACTGGCAAGAGGAAAGCTACCCACCTCTCAATTCTTGGCCTCGCACTATACCTAGCAGGCAGTAGGTTCCAGATGTGTTTGAATTAACTCCCCGACCAAGGACCCTCTTGTGCCTGCAGCAAGCATGGGGGCCGCAGAGTCTGTGCCTCGGACCAGTGATCGGGCCACACGTGGCTGCAGTTCACTGGGACGTGACGAGGGACCAGGGTGGGTCTCTTATCACCCATTTTAATGAGCACATTCCTCCCTGGTTTCAAATTCTCATTACCCTCTAACATTCATTCACAACAGCAGTTTCCACATGCAGAAGCTTTATCACAAATCCTTACTTGCTCCTCATGCAACCCTAAGCAGCATCCTGCTCTAACAACTGAGGCCGGGAGCTTTAAAGAGACTCATGTCAAGACGGTGTAAAAGAGCTGAGGGCTGGGTGCAGGGCTTGCTGCCAGCTCAGGTTGCCCGCGGGCCCCAGGCAACTGCCCAGAGTGGCGGAGGCAGGTCCCACGCAGGTGTCTGGACCGGAGTCAGTATGAGAGCATCGCGTCAAGCCCAACATTGCGGTCTGCCGCGTGGCTGCCGGACTCAGGTGTGTGTGCCTGCTGGTCATGAAGTCTAGCAGGGAAGTCCCCTGACACAGATGGCAGGCCTTGCTGGAAGGCTCCCCTACCCCCAACCCCACCTTCCAGCAAGTCCCAGTGTTCTAATCTTGGCTCCCATCTCCAGGGCTCACCAGGAAATGTGACTCACCTTGGGGCCCGGTGTGGGAAAATCTAACTGCAGCTTGGCAACTAGACTCTTGGCTTGTAGAATACTTAGTACCTGGCATCACAGGTGACATACCAGAAGGCTCAGGTACCTGGATTTGCCGCATTCACATGATTTCTAATTTAACACTCCTGGTTCTAGTCCCTCACTTCCTCTTCCTGTCCGCTGGCCAGTCAGGCCCTCACGGGACTGGGAGGACATTTAGGGGGTAACGCTGAGCACCAAGCGATGCTGAAGTCCCGATTTCTGCCAAGGGACAGCTTTAGC